AGCAGCCAGTTCATTTTCTAGCCCATATATATAGGACTCTACTCGTAGTTTTTGGTTATCTTGAGGATCTTTTCTTGGGCACTTCACTAGCCAGTTGACAGCTGCTAATGAACCTTTCAGAGCTGGCCCACAATAGGCCCACCGCCCTTCCCCTTTTTTGTGGGTAGAAGGAGGAGTTCATTGAACGTGGCGTCAGGCATCGTGCACGAAATTGCAAAACCCATTTACACGGAAATTATTTTTATTTGAGTGGAAAACGGGTATAGAGATTGATACCCTATGGTAGATGAACGAAACTCTATGGAGGGAAATGGCTTCCACACTCTTCGAGAGTTCTCTATTTGTGTCTTGTGGAGCCACTTTTAAAAGATACCCCAACAAAATTTCGTGCCATAAAGTGGCACTTTGGTTCACTCCTTCTTTAGAGTGACAAATCTTCTCGAATTCTGTTACACCTTTCGAGAGCCCATGCTTTTGGGGAGTATAACTATGCCAGGGCCTCGCCCTCGCCAAGGCGTATCCGTATCCCTGGCGGACTAACTTAAATTGCAGCGATAAGCTTTAAACTGCAACCACTTCCGGCATGTTGCCTTGCCTTGCCCTGCCCCTGGATACATGTGTGTATAAATATCCCATATATTTATCCCATATATAGTTTACTCGCACTCGCCCCGCTACAAAGTATATAGCATATACGAGTACAGTGCTCGTGGTATGTGGGTATCCGCATGGAAAGTGTTGGCAAGGATATGCTTAAACATGCAAATTTTCAATATGCAGACAAAACAGACACAACACACAGCACACAACATGCATGCTTGCCCCAGAGTGGAGCCAGAGATGTGGAGTTTGGGGAAATTTCCACTGGCGGAACGTGAAATGCAATTGGGGCCATCCCAGCACCAGCCCCATCCTTAGCCCCGTCTGGCATTCGATGAAATTGCCGGATTGTGTTGAAGTGTGATGTAGGCTTCGCTTGTTGGACCCGGACTCGGACTCGGCCACCGACTCGAACTCGAACTCGGGCTCTGGACGGGTCTAAGAGGCCTTTGGCATATTTCTCTGTCGTGAAATTAATTTCTCCAGCGGACCCTTGTTAAAAATACTCTCTATATTTAATATTTAATATGATGTGAGTATGTGCACTCAAATTACCATAATTCAGCGGGCCCTGGTATTGGTACTGCTTTTGAGGCTTTCATGTTCATAATTCTGTGGGCTTTTCTGGAGCTTTGTTTGCTTTTAAAGAGTGCTTAGGTAGGGTGATAAGAATCTAATAGTTCCTCTCTAGTTAGGTGAAAATTTCGAAAGCTGAATTTTAGGCATCCCTTTTGTTCTTTAGATGACTTGGTTTGATGATACTCTATAGCTCGTGCCTGTTAATTAGTTTAAGTATATTAATTACCTTTAAGTAGCGGTCATTAATACACTTTCGACCATGTTAGCACCATTTATGACTCTTTTCTGAATACTTTACACGAAGGTTCCTATTGTTCTTAAATATCTGACATTCGATGGTAGCAAAGGTTCACTTTGCTACTTCCATATTTCCTTTTTCCTTCAATGGATCTTCCTTCTCCAAAGGTTCATTCCCTACCACAAACCCAAAGTCCAACAATCATTTAGTGGTTTTCCGCATCACCCTAGAACTCTTTTTTCGGTCAATTTCCTCCCCCAAAACTTCTTGTCAATAATTCCCATTTATCATCCTACATCTAGCATCTCTCAATCCCCACAACACACGCCACACAACACTTGTAGACCTTCGGGGCATAGTGGCAATAGCCACAGAAAAAAGTTGCCAAATCATGGAGCGGACAGGCCGAAACGATACCGATTCGATTCGATTTGAGCGGATCCGTTGACGAATGAACTGCGGTCCGGCGGCTAAATGTATCTTCATTTGACAAGCTGACGTTTGTTGTTTTTTGTTGTTTCCACGTTGGCTCTTTGATAAATTGAATAAATTTAATGGTATAATTAACTCGTGTTCATGGCTAATGTGAATGTGCCCCGCCCTCATTCGAAGCTCTGCTGAATGGGGAGGGGGGTATGGAGAGGCCAATTAAATGGTATAACATAAGGTCTGGTTAGTGCATCAAAACTGTTAAGTGGATCACGACATCTTTCCGTGTCATAAATGTGCTTTAGACAATTAAATTCAACGAAATGCATTATACATATATATATAAACATATATTGTTCAGGCTTTCGAATATATTCCTTCAAACTGGTTGAACGGAATATATCTTCTTGATATACATACATTCCGTTAGTAGTAAAGGTATCTTGAAATATCAACTCTGAAATAAAACCAAAACTTCCTATAACCTCCTTAGATAAATCAAAGATATTTCGTGCCCTGTCCTAAATAATAGCTACTCCTTAATAAAAGAGAAAATCCCCAAAAAACAAGATACAATTTATGCGAAACAACCCCTCTCATACGCATTCCTCTTCACAGAAATGCACAAAAAATAATTTAGATAAAAGTTAACATAATTTTGATAAGCTGGCCAAAGAAATTTATATGCTCGCACCTAACTGCAAATTGTGTGTAATGAGCCACCTTTGCCTTTGCCTTTACCTGTATTTCTGGTTCTGTCTCTGTTCTTTTTTTTACCTTTCTCCCCCGTCTCTTATTTGGTAGCACCTTTTATGCTGTCTAAGCCTGAAGAAGACATAAATTTGTTAGCGCCTGCCTGGTCAAGATCCCGGGACTCATCCTTTTAAGGGGGTGTATTTCTGTTTTTTTGGGTGCTGCTCCTGTTCCCTCTTCCCCGTTCCCTGGGCCATGTCCCGTGCCCAAGCTGAGAACCCAGAAAAAAAAACACAGAAAAATTAGTCAGGTTGCCGCCTGCGAGATCGGTCGCTGGAGATAACTTGCCTCATATTTATGTTGGAAATTAGGCAAATTTTTAGTGGCGAGATAATTTGTGTACGACTTTGTCGCAGTGAGTGAGAAAATTCCAGGCATCTACATTCCATAATGCTTCGGTGCGGAGGTTACTTTTGTGGTTTGGAATTTGTAACGCTTTGCAGGAAGAGATATGGAAATTTTTAACGGAAGGAAAGCAGCGAAACAATTGTACTGTAAAATACTGAAGGATCTGGGTATTTCACCCTTAACTTTCTGACATTAATTGCCTTTATTCCCCATTGGAACTATGTATCTTTTCCATATGTAATTAAAACCTCAAACAACTTGATATGTTATCAATACAAAAAGTTGTTAAACCAATAATTAAATCAAGCCCAAGGACTCGCAGTAACTTTGGAGTAAAACTGTATATATTTTTCATAACAATATGACACTTTCTCACAGTTGTTCTCTCTCTACCCACCGCCCGAAACCCCAAGTCCCTTAATTAAGACATTTGGAAAGTGGCGTAAATGGAGAGAAGAAGTAAGTTTTGTGGGCTCGTTGGTCAAAAAAAAATTTTTTAATTGTAAGCTTCAAAGTGTATAATTATTGGTTAGTTATCGGTTAGGTAAAAAGACTCTGCACTGGGATGGGGGTTATATAAGCCATATTTAAATGCGGGGCCGGCCCCCCAGTCAACCTCTCTTTGAGGCCCATTTTCTAACTTGCCGCCTGGCCTATGGGCAACAAAAATTAAGTTATTAAACATTTGTATCAGTGTGTGTGTGTGTGGTTTTCGGCTGGTGTGATTTTGTGTGTATCTGTGAGGAACGGTGATTAGTTATGGTAAGCAGAGTGGTTTCGAATGTCAAATGTGAGGGAAATATGGCAGTTGGTTGGGAACGAAACGGCGGGAAGTATGAAAATGTCTATGGAGTGGATGAAAATGAAGTCAATACTCATATTTATTGGCTATGCTATTGATTGGTAACTATATTTATTTGTATGCTTTGCCGTGGAAATGTCATCAAGGATGTCCCTTTTAATCCGTTTGGAATATGAAACGGCAGCTTTTATCTACGGAAAACTTGATTCCCATTTATCTAAGAGAATTTGTACCACATAAGTAGATGTATGTGATTGTGATTGAGATTCACGCGATTACGACATGCTCACACGCACATTTTTTGTATATTTGACTGGATTCGTTCATCTGGTTTGTCTGCGCAGTAGGTTCTTATATATTAGATATATATACGAAAATCCCACGGCACAGAAACAGAAGTCTATCCAGAAGTTGGCAATTGCCAGTATTCATTTTTAACAAGTAGCTGATATTTTCAATTCCCTACTGGCATTGACATCTTCAGTTGACTACAATTTCCTAATCAGCCATCGGTTATTTGTGAACCTCCCAATCAATTGATCTTTTCAAATGCAAATTGTAGGGGGACTGCAACAAAGTAGTATCTGAGAGTACCATTTTAGTATCCATTCCGAGATGTCCAACCTTTTGTACTAAACAGCCACTTTAAATTGTTAATTGCTAAGAAAGAGCAGTGGAAGTGGCAGTGTAATGGAATTAATAACAAATGTCTGCTCCACAGACATACATCATTAGAAATTGATGACGCATGTCGCGTGCAACTGCAACTGCAACTCACTGCATCTGCATCCATTGTTGATGGCATGCAACCCTTTGGCAGGCACTAAAACACGGAGCGGTAATTAATTAGACTTTCATAAAGAGCACAAAATTCTATAAATTATATTTCATTGCCGGGGCATAAATGTCAGTGGCGGGGCTGCTGCCATGCGCGACTGCGCATCACGTGCCCCACAGTCGAGCGTAGAGAGCAGACAGAGAGAGAAAGAAAGAGAGCCGAGAGCCCCACCCCCTTTGGCAATATCATCGTTATTAATTGTTGGCCATATTTATGGAAGCACTTACTCGTATTGTCCAGCCCCAGCGCCAGTCCCAGCCCCAGTCCCAGCCCCAGCAATGGCAATGGCAATCGCATGTTTGCAAAATAAAATCGGGGAAAGCCCATGCCATTCCGAAACAATACTCAAATACGAGTATAAATGAATGTTACTCGCTTTGTGTTATAAATTGTTTATTCAGTTTCTCTCTCTTTGCACATCATTTAAATAAGTGTTTATAGTACTTCATTGGAGGGGTGGAGTGGGGTGGGGGGAGTGTCTAAAGGATTTAATTCAGCGTGGAATTTTCACAATAATTGCAGTTATAGGAACACATGGACAACAGCAACGAAAGTGGATAAATTAAATTACAATACACAGATTCAGATTCAGACACAGACACAGACACAGATACAGATACGGGGGGATGGGACACGATGCTAGGCCTACGCGTAATTAAATTAACTAATACTGTTATAATTCTACAGAAAATTACAATACAGTGAAACCGTTTCCGCTTCCGATTCCGTTTCCGCTGTCCTTGACTCACATTCAGCGCTGGTCACATTTTCACCGAACGGTCTATGGTTCACGACGATCTCTCTCTCTCTCTTCAGCATCACATGCAACATCGTTCACTCTCTCTCTCTCTCTTTCTGTCTGTCTGTCTCTCTTGCGTTCTCTTTGGATGTTGCAGCAACAGGTTTTTGGGTTATTTACAAAAGGTTTTCAACAACATTGCACATACATTTCATAGATAGATTTTTCAAGGAATTTTGCTGGTTTGGTTTTCGGGTGGGACACTCTTAAGGACTCTCCGCTCTTGTGGAGGCTGGTGGCGAGGCCTGATGCTGCGGCACCTGATACGGACTGAAGCGTTGCGGATAGTGACTCATCTGCGGCCTCGCCCGCAGATCCGGCGACGCCGAGCCGCACGAGGATGTGGGTGTGGCCGGGGCAGGCGGTGCTGCCCCTGCAGCAGGTGGGGGCGGGGTGCGATTGGCGCCCGCTGCTGCCGCGGCGGCTGCTGCAAAGGCCGCCTGTTGATTGGCACTGGCCAGGAACCCGGCCGTCAGCTGGGGCCACTGCTGCTGCCACATCCCCAGCTGGAAGGCGCTGAGGTGCGAGGCCTGTGGCGGCGGAGCCTGCCGCTGGTACAGATGGGGCAGCAGCATCTCGGTGTACGGCGAGCGGCCAAACATCTGCAGGTGCTGGCGGGCCTTCTCCAGGAGGGCCAGCGAGGCGGCGTCCGCCTCTTGGGGGGTGAGCTGCGACATCAGCGGATCCGGAAAGAAGCGCAGTGGTGCGGCTCGCATGTGCTGGTCGAAGAAAAACGCATCCATTGGATCTCTGCAAGCGAACAGACGAGAGACCAGATGATAAAAAGCTTTAGAGAAGAGTCTTGGACAGAGTCAGGGACAGGGACAGGGGCAGAGCTTCAGTTGGGGCAATAACATAATTACGTTGAAAGTAACTGCCAATTGCCGACACTAAACTACAGGAACAACAACTGCAACAACAGCAACAACAGCAACAAGAGCCACAAGAGATACATTCACTCATTATTTTCGTGTTTTCATTTCATGTACGAATCGGCTTCAAAGTTAAAGCCGCCGATCTGTAATTTACGCCACTTAAGCCGCCGCCGTGCCGGCTACAACAGCGATGTTGCTCGTGTGCTGTTGCCATGTTGCTGCTGGCGGCGGCAGAGCGTTTGCTGCTGCTGCTGCTTCTGCTGCGTTGCTCTTGCTGTCTTAATAGTCGCCGACTTGCAACACTTTGAAGTTGCTGTCGAAAAAAGGGCTGCAGCGGCAGCCTTCAGGTGCCTTGCCAAAAAGAAGCCCAAAGAATGGGGTCCTTTTGGCGCTAGGGCCATTCTGGGCCGCATGTTGCTGAGTGCCCGAAATGTTGCTCGTGTGCGAAAATGTCTACATTTCAGATTAACTGATTTATGGAATGTATTATTCCACATTTGTTTTTGAATTCAGTTGAAATATTTTTATCGTGACATGCAAAAGCTTCAAAAAAGATGCTCTAATATGCTGGGACTAAGCATGTTGCAGAGGGGAATGTCGAATACAGTCAACGACAGATTTTGCCCATTCATTGACTAAGAAACGTCATGCATGATGAATGATGCTACCATTTTATCATAGAACTTGCCCTTTAATCTGTATTTTTTCAGAGAAATCCCACATCGTGCTCCAATCACAATAGCGACGGCATTGGCTGATTGATCGCATGTGCTGCACGTCGCAGCCGCAGGCAGTTGCTAATGGAAACGCGGCTCCGCATTCCGCACTCTGTTCTCCGACACTTTCACACATTTTCGCTAATCAGCAGCAACTTGAGCTACTGTAGGGTTTTACGGCTCAACAGGCAATCGTAAATTAGGCCATAAATCAGACATGACCCCATAAAAACGGGGCAGAAACGGAGCAAACTACTGTATCGCGAGTAGAGGGCATCCGAGTCCAAGCCCAAGTCCAAAGGAGGAGACACTCACCTATCAAAGTCAGTGAGACGCGACGAATCGCGAAATCCTTTTGCAAACGGATTCGAATCGATTTTCAGTTTCGTAATCAATTGATTCTGATAGGCCGTCACGGCCGTGAACACGGTCTCCGGGAAAACGAAGGTTTTATGATCCATATCCTGCAGCTCCTTGGGATTGCCGGGTATGCTCTGGCCGTGGCTCATCCGCACCAAGTGGATCCGTGGCTGATAGCGATGCATTGAGTTCAACACGACCTGTATGAAACGAAACGAAACGAGAAGAATTTCCTGAATGCGAATGCTTATAAAAAATGTACGCCCATAAAAAGTAGTCCATGTTTGTTTTGACTGTCCTCGGAAGGCTCTGCAGCCTCCATTCTCCTATCCTATATCCCAGTGCCCATCGCATCCTTTATGGATGTGATAAAAACGGTAGCAGGCTCGTAAACAGAGCGTCGCCACTCGGATCTTGGGCTCTCAAAACATGTGGGTGAGTCGTCCGTGGAGTGGTGGAGGAGTATTTGCCACCAAATTGCCAACAATTTTCATTCATTTTTGTGCGCGCGCAATGCCATTTGCATATGTGCATGTTGTGGCAACTCTGGCTGACCCCATCTGACCCGACACGACCCAACGACTGAAGACAATGCCAGTCAGCCGCCCGGCCGCCAGTTTATGTGTTTGCGTCTTCCCTAAATTATTCATAAATGAATTCGGGATGCCAGAAATGCTACCTCTCGCAGGTGCTCTCTCACTGGTATTGGGGTTAAGAGTTAGGAGCTGGATGTACCATATAATATAATATAATCTATTGAAATCAAAGACAAAGGGAAGCTAGACTTTGAAATCTTAAGGTTTCTGTCTTTGAAAGAGAGTTTTATACGCTGAAAACTATTGAATCTTGTTGGTTTTTATCTCTTCTAGTTTGACTGTACTTCTTCCAAGTGGCCTCTATAAGCTGTATTGTGGTTCCTGGTCATTGCATTTTACCCAATACAAAGCAAGGAAGGAGGCAGCATTCCATAAATCACTGGCTTCTAGGACACAATAAAAGGTAAGAGATCAATCAGGAGCACCTACTATTGATAGAAATCTAAATGCTTTTATGCCTGGCTCATTCAGTGGCATCTTTGCCTGGAAAACTTATTTTAAAATTGGTAAACTACAGCCCCAATAATAAAGCAAGTTTACAACTCTCCTGGAAGGTAATACCATCACTATAGAAGCTCCAGCCTGTGTGTTCCTTATCCTTTCAAACACATACCGATTCGAAACTAGTTCATCCGTTTAGCAGCCTAAAGCCTATCCCCCCCTTCATCGATTTCTTACTGCCTCTAACACTCCCGCCTGTCCAGCCCGTGAATGTCCTTTGCCACCCCCCAGTATCTAGAGCTCGACTCACCTGTCCGCTCTTATCCATTTCGTTATTTGTCAACTTCACCTTCTCGAAGGAGACGACCTGTTTGCGCAACGCCTCCGGGCTGATGGGGCAATCCGGATGGCAGTAGATGCGGGCCGGCGGCGGCGGATCCGCCTTGCCCGCCACCAGCCAGGAGCTGCGATGGTAGGCATAGCGATAGCGCCGCGAGTCCAGGGGCACAATGTCCAGCAGGACGGCGTACCGATCCGGGGGCTGGATCTGCCGCAGTGGACCCGAGAAGCTCACACGCACCGTGGGGAACATGCGCCTGAAAGTGGACCAAGTGGTGTGTGGAAATGGTCGGGAAATGTTAGTGAACTCAAAGAAAGGCATACAGAAAGGCGGAGGAAAATCGTGAACTATTTTTTTTATTGCCCGCCATTGTGTTTCATGCGGGGTATGCAAATAAGACGCATATTTAATTTTATGACTTTTAGCACGTTTTTGACACATTTCCGCACACCCCAGTGGGGGGTACAGTGGGTGTGCCACCCCCTGCCCATTCCCCCAGCCACCTTCCCCTGATACACTCAACAGTTGAAATTATATAACAACAATTTGTCGTTTTTTGTGTCTGTTTGCGGTCGAAGGTAAGTGTAAATGACGCTAATGACCCAGCCCACTTTTTTGTCATTTGTCTCCGAGCCAAGAACACGGGGAGAGAACACCTTGTCAGAGCCAACAGCATTGGGTGTTTCTGTATCTATGAGTGTAGGCATGTTATATCTGTGTTTGCTGGCTAGACGGAGTAATGGTAATGGCAATGGTGTGGGCTGGCTAATTATAATTGATTTGCTTTGAGTTGTGTTGGTAAATTAATGGGGTGGCATTTGTTCAAATAAAATGTTATAATTATCGGAGAGAACCATTGACAATATTTGAGCAGTGTTGAATAACGCTGGGAATATATAACTGTTGAGTAATATGAGAAAAAGATTTAATTTTTAAAGAAGATTTCAATGAATCTTAAGCAAATGTTGGGGATTCGTTTATTTTTAAGTAATTATTTTGTTTATTTTATTTGTTATTTATTTTTGTAAATGTAGGTGTAGGCTCCGGTAGGGTTTAAGAAGAAGGGGCCCAGAAAGCAACCCTGTAACACTTTGAACCACGAATAAGTCGTGTTTCAATTTCTTTGTGACTCATTTCTGTGTGTGATTTTGTGATTTATACAATTGTACAGTTTGTCACCGCCCTGCTTAACAGACCGTTATTGGGGGAGTCTGGGCGTGGCCAATTGTGTGGGCCAGAGTTGCCAACGTCAAGTAGGTAACAGTTATGGGGCTATGGGCCCACTATTTAGTTTGAGCAACAACCCAAACGAATCACAGTCGTCGCGGCAATCGTTGGCTCGTTCTGGCTGTAACACAAGTAGCAAGTGCAGTTGCAGTTGCAGTTGCATGCCACAATTAGCACCATTGTAGCAGGCATTTAACATGGTTTCTCTTATCTGGATATCTACGAGCTGCAGCCAAGCGGAGGCCGCCGCCAGAGCCGGAAGCTTCCATTTTGTTTTTGGCCAAAAACAAAGAAGCAGAAATGTAAGCAGAATGTAATGGAAGTCCGAGCTGAGTTCCAGCTAAATTTATTCGGATTGTTAACACTTTCCTCAGCCATTTGATGGCTCTGCTAATGTGCCCCATAAATGTGTGAAGCTAGACCAACAGCCACGCCTGTTTTTGGGCTATATCTAATGCCGCCCCCCCGGCGGAAATGTCGTAAATCATATTCCAACATTTACATACATTTTATTAGCCACAGAACCACAGCCACTCCCACCCTTTTGGGAAAACCGCTTCGACTTCAGTTCTTTCTTTTTGCTGGTGTGGATTTTATGTATTTGTTTATGGGAAAATTAGGGAAATGGCTTTTACTCAGTTCAGTTTTAGTGCGGAATGGAATGCAGGAGTGGACTTGGACGTGGACGTCGACCGGACCGAGCTTAGGTGCCAAAGGTTACAATTATGAAGTTTACACACCATTTGCCATGGCAAGAAATACCACAGAAAGGGGAGGACTGGCCAGCAGCGATGACTTGGGGTGGCTTTGGTTTCAATTAGTCTGGCCGAATACACTACGCTATATATAGAAACCCTATGGGAGAGCCGCCAATTCATTATCAACACCTTTGTTACAGCAAATTAAGCCTCAAGGTCTAAATTAATAAAATGCAAATTAGCCAGCGACTAAACCCCGAAACAACCCCGAACCCCAAACAGAACAGAAGAAAAACGGATATATAAAACTATAACTTAGATCTTATCGGAAACTGACAACACTCCCCCCTGTTTTTCCCTCTTTCCCTGTTCCACCGCTGGCTGCATTTCCCTTTTCCCATCTTTTATTAGTTGATTAATTCATAATTTAGACCCGTCTCCGACTCCGTCTCCGACTCCGACTCGGACTCGGACCCTGCCCCTGCACTGCACCTTTCGTCTGGGGGATTAACTTGTTCCAATTGTTGTCTGTTCTTGTCGATTCCCTCTGATAAATGGTCTGGGTTTCTGTTCAGCTGTTCGTTGAAATATTAATGGAGCTGTGGCCAAAGTTGTGTCTAAAAATACAGAAAATTCTGCCTGCCTGCACCATGAAAATTGCAATTGCCATGCACTGCCTTGTGCTACTGTGCCTGTCCCTTCGGACCCTAGCCTAGCCCCGGGATAGACAGATCCCGGACCTGATAGGCGTGAAGAGTTTGTCGCAAAATATTGACAAACCGAGGGACTTCGACCCGCTGGGCGAGAGGTCAAAACAATTAGCCCGCCCGCCCGCGTCTTCTGACTTTTGTGCGCCGCCTTTGTCCACGGACAGAATGTCCTGCAAAATAACCTCAAAACCGCTGACAGCGTGACAAAATCACAAACCACGTGATATTTTATTTCAATGACCGCAGAGCAAGCACATACCCACGCACACATAAGGCGACGAGCAGTCCTCAGTCCTAACCTGACCATCTGACAGGCAGGTAAACACAAATTCAAACAATTTCTGACTCTTTTCTTGGGCTGTAAATCATCCTCCAAGTCGGCTTCTTGTTTCGGGCCCGAATCTGTTGGCAATTTGATGCAGTTCTTGTCGCGCATTTCATGGCTCCGTTCTGATGGGAGCTGCGCATGCGCTTGTTGCATGTTGTGGCAACATTTTCATGGAATTTCAACGATTGACTGAATGGTTCTGAATGGTGCCATGAATCCGATATACATATGTATCTGCAGAGTATATCTGTGTAAATTGAGGGGTTTCCTTCTGGTATTCATTTCAGATACAAGAAACACCAAAAATATCCCAACTTCCCAGTGCTGCCCTCCACACCTGATCCCTGATGAACATGCCACCGAATCATACCATCTAAAAGCTGTACCCAAGCCTATACTTTTGTAATTTAAAATGTATCACTCAGAAAACAAACAAAAAAAGCATTGGCACTCCCACTTCCCCTGGACCTGGACGGACATGTTTAGCTGCCAAACGACGTGCTGACATAGATGTATATCGGGATTGGGAGTTATTGTTCTGTTTCTCTCTCTTTTTTTGTGTGCTTTGCAGTTGTGTTGCATGCATCAAACCCGCACAAATGTAAATACGAGTAAGCGGCGGCAAGCATCGGTATCCTTTGGCTAATTACAGGGCAGCCAGTGGCAGCAGTCACCAAAAAAACAGTGAGAGTCAAACAGAACACGAAACGAAACGAAACGAAATGGGGGCCCAAAAGCCAGGGGACATGCAAATGTGTTGTTAGCGCGACAATCGGTAGCTATTACAATGCAATTTATACTTTGTGTGGACTCCTGGCTCAGGCAGGACTCAGAGCTCAGGATTCTGGATTCAGGAGAAGCGGGAGCGAAAGGAGTAAATTTGTTAATGTGTCGTAAATGCGCACAGCAGGTGGAAGGGGGATGGCGAGTGGGAAGTGGGGGAGGTGGAGATCTCTTTTGGGGTCGACTGCTGACGGCCAACAAAGGGTTACACACACATTCAGAACAAACAAACAAAAGTTGCCAAGCGAAAAGACAGAAAACCAAAGGCACTAAAAACACTAAATCATAAATCGACCAGAGAGTCGACTGTGTGATACCCAGTAACAGAAGAGACAAGAGCGGAGGTCGCGGCATATTTTAAATATTTTTTCTCTCTAGTGAAACATTTAATTTTAATCCAACTTTAATTAAAGTGGTAGAAAACTTCCACTCTGGGTCGCTACATCTTTATTAATTTTTGTGTATAAAAATTATAAAAATTTTAACTTTTAAAAAAGATCTTGCATAAAACCTAATTTTTATCTCAAGGAAATACATTCATAAGCTTTACTTTTGTTGCACAGTATTGTTATTATGACTATTTTTTATTTATTCAATAAATATAATTATTTTCATTAAATATTCAGTTTCTAGACCCCATTGGGCAAAGTAGTCCAGGAAGCAAAGAAGGCCTCAATGAAGAACCGTCGTCATTGCTGAGGATAGTTCTCAGCATGGTGAACCTTTCCCTAAAATCCATCATACCCCTCACCCACTTGAAAAGTATCAAAAACAGGGCTCCTAACTACCACCTAGAGACTAATGCGTATTTCGCATGTTATCCAAAAAGCTGAAGAGAAAGAGAAAAGCAGAAAGGCAGAAAAAATAAAGCCAACAAAAAAGAGAAAAACAAAAAGTTCTTCTGGCACCCAAAATGTTATGTTTTATGTTCGTTCGTTCATGTTTCGTTATTCGTTTCATATTCATTCGCATTTCGCATTTCGCATTCACATTCACCCCACCAGCTCCCTGCCTGCCCTACCCTACCAGGCAGTCATCCATCCAACACGACATTCGCACGAGAATCGAGAAATATCGTCAAGCAATAATTTCTTCAACTTCTTTGTTGAGTTGCGAATGAAAAGTCGTTTAGCCCAGGTCTCAGGTCTGTGTTCGTGGGTACAGGTGTTTGTGTGTGGAGTGTACGCATACCCTTGCAGAGAGTACAATGATTTGGACAAGAGGTTTGCAATGCATAAAAGGGAAGGGAGTGATAATAATGTATCAGTAAATTCTGCAAAATCTATTCCCAGCCATAAATTTTCATATATCCTTCATATATTTTCAGGCATGGGTCGTACGTCGTAGATCCAATCAGCCATAAGAGAAACAGGTGAGTAAACTTTGGCCTAAGGTCACCGTTTTTTCGATATAGTACTCAAGCAAAGGAAGGATCTGTAAGGGTATCAAAAACATCACCCCACAAAGCTAGCCTGGTCTTTTCCTGTTCAAATTTGATTGTAGTAGACCCAAACCGCTGATGAAACGAACTGCTTCCCCCTGGGTTCTGGCTGCTTCACAATTTTTTTCTTTTTTTCTTTCTTTTCTGCTAATCGAAAATCGACGGCATATTATTTCGATGCCTTGTCAATCAAATTTCTTGGCCAGCTGATGGAGCCCCATGTAAATGAGAAACTAACCAAAAAGTTGTTGATATTTTCCAGTTAAGACGAGGAGGCGTCATCGGTGGGGCGGGGCGGAGCTGGGCTGGTGGCGACTGGTCTGGCGGGGGGCTTGGTTCCATGGGTGAAAGGCGCATTAAAGTTTTATTGATTGTTCGAGTTTCTGTTTCGAGGACTTCTCGTGGGCAGTGTGGATGTGTGGTGGTGCCTTGATTGGTGCCCGACTGCCGGGGGCGGCATTATGGTTATGACCCGGACTGCCCCTCATCACACACTCCACAAAGCACGCCCCAATCTGAGCCCACCGGCCAAAAGGCCTTTGGCAAATTGAATTCCAATGAAAGTTAAATGAAATAAAATGCATGCGAGGAGAGGAGAGGAGTTTGTGATGCAAGTGGACCCTGGAGACAATGTGATCGATTATCTGGGAATTTCTGCAATTGCAATCGATAAACGAATGCTGAAAATTGTTGGGGGTACACGTTTAACCTAATCGATTGCTGATGAGGCAAATTTGGGAACGAGTATGAGGAAAGCAGACATTTACTATACTAGGACGTAAAATATCAAATGATTGATGTCAATGATGAGGAAAAACATGGAAAAAAATTAAGAAAGTCTTGGCTAAGACATAGGAAATCTCTCAATGAAAACAATGTTTAAAAAATCCCATCACAATGCCAGAGTGAAGCTCTATTTTTACATCCCAAATATCTTTTACGAAACTACATTAGATTACAGTTCTTTTGTATTCTATCTTTATTATAGAAGTTATCGTACTAGGGATGTGAACATTCAAAACTTCCTAAATGTTTTCTAAGCATTTTAATCCATATCCCCATCTCCCCCTGATCAACATCTTTCAGAAATCCCACAACTTAATAAAAACATTAATTTTTACACTCATTCCCAACCCAGACCTTTCATCACTAATTGATCCCCTTGAACACTGACCATTCATCGCATTCATATACCACTCCATTTCCCCTTTAATGTAAATGTATGTAGTAAATTTTTCTGTACAAGTTTCTCGTCTCGACTCACCTGCCCGATTTGGTAATGATCATTTCAGTGCCCAATTCATGGAACTTATCCCAGAGCTCCTTGGTCTCCAGGTGGCACTGGATTGGCGTGAGATCGTCGCAGTTGCACGAGCCGAGTATCTTGGGCGTGGGCTGCTGTGGATTTGGATGTGGATGTGGATGTAGATGGAGGAGAGTAGCGGAAGGTGGGACACGGTTAGAAAAGCGCTTTTCGTATGGGAGCGTTGCTGACTTTGTTGCGTTTGGTTACCTGCGCGGGCTCCTCTGGCGACAGGCGTTCGTCTTCGGGAGGACTCTGGGCTGGCGGTGGAGGCGAGGGCGTGGCCGTGCCACCACCACTAGATCCAGCTCCAGCCACAGCTCCAGCTGCGGCAGCATTTGGTGTGGTGGTTGTGGCACGCCCTCGATGGCTGCTTGATTTGCTGTGATTGCTGTTGTTGTTGTTGTTGTTGTTGTGATGATGATTGTGATGTTGGCGTTGTTGCTTGTTTGCTGTTGCATGGTGATGTGTCTGTTGCCGTTGTTGTTGCTGTTGCTGTTGTTGCTGCTGCTGTTGTTGTTGCTGTTGTTGCTGTGCAACACGCAATGCCTGACGTTGCTGGGCCTGAACTGCTGCTGCTGCTGCTGCCGCCGCCGCTGCTGTTGCAGCCAACGCCGTCGGCGATTCAGAGTCACTGCAGTCAACCACATCAACGTCAACATCATCGTCCACATCCTGGCCCGAATACTGTTCCACAGACAATGGACCTAGATGCAACAGAGACATCAAATTGGCTTGTTAATGCGGGAGGAACAGAGGCAGAGTGCCGAGTACAGAGGCAACAGAAAGAACGGAGAGTGCTACTATGGCAACATGTTGCATGTCGATGACGAGGGACAGTCGACACAGTCGAGAATCGGTCGCGCCCAGATGTATTTCACAGATTACGCCAAAAAATTCAATTATTTGCTCAAAATGCAATTTCATATGTTAATTTTCTACCAATCTGCCGTTGGCTGTGTGCGTATCTGTGTGTGTGCGCCATGTGTGCGTTGCACCGCCAAATGGTGGGGCAGGGCAGAGGTTGAGTGTGGGGGCCGGGGCCGGGGCCACGACTAATGAATGCATCTGTTGGCGCTTCTGTCTCTCTACCCAATTATGGCATCTAAATAGTTTTGCATACGCGACAGAGGGAGATAAATATACGCATAAGCGAATACATCTGACTCGCTTGTCGTGCCCCTGCCACACACACCATGCGGCAACATACGACTGTCCACCCTTGCATTCAAATAGGCTTTGATTATTTTATTGCCGCGCATTTGCCGCAATTATCAAGTCATCAACGTTGCATTGTCATCAATATATAATTTATAAAGCATAAAAGGAAAAACAACAAAATACGAGTACGAGAAAAAATATGCACAGAAAATAGAGGAGAAATATAATGCAATTGCGACACTTTTCCTCCCCCCCACAGAACAGGGGAGGGAAATTGGTTTAGGGGAAGGGGGCCAATGGTATGGGTATTTCTAAGCAATCGATTAATTGGGTTTTTTTCGTTGAAATGTTTTATTGAAGCGGGGCGGGGTCTTTCATCGACAGATGGAACTGCTTTTCTTAAATGTATGTGTATATATTTTTATATACTCGTACTACAAGTAAATAAAGTAATGATTCTACTGAAGGTCTCTTAAGACTTTTGGAAGACTCGTTTTTGATGATCTGTTGAATTGCAGAATATATTTTAGCGACTTCTTGAGTGACGCATGCTCTTTGAAATACTTTATTGTAAAGATTTAATTCCATTCGGGTTACTTTTTATTAGTGTTTTGATTTCCAGGTTCGTTTTGGATTATAAATGGATCAAGTTCAGAGAAAGAAAGACCATTTTCTTGCAAACTATTAAGTAGAATCCGTAGTTAAGAAAATGGACTGATAATAAATTTAATTACAAAGTCCATGTTTTTTCCATATTCATATGGTCGTCAAATGTTTCAGAGCGGTCCTTAGTTCTTGGATTATATATTTTGAAGTACTTCTGATAGATTTACTAAAGTCTCCTGTAATTTGCAGTACATTTTTCTTCCACAAATCGAAGAAAACTTCTTTCTGCTAGAAGTCTCAACTGGCTATATTTTGTTATAACAATTTTAAGCCTGATCGCTTTTTCAGATAGCATTCTAAACAATCTCTGACTTGTGCGGGTTCATAAATATGTAAATGAAAGTTCGATTCGATTATCGTATAAACCCGTAACTTGGGCTAAACATCAACATGTTGGATATGCAAAATAAAATTCAATCAACAAAAGAGACTGGAACTTGTTCATTATGCAAACCATCAATTTAAACCAAAGATAAGAATATATATGAATAGAACTTCTTCTCAGAAAGAACCCCTCAAACAAATGAATGAATATTTCACAAAAATCGTCAACAATTTAAGCGACGAAAAGGAAATGCTCCTACGTGTAGAAATGCAAATTGATATCTATTCAAGAGTGTGTATGGGACGGATAGAGATATATCAGATATAGTGTGTACGAGTAGATGTGGTGGAAGGTCGGAATTACTTTACTCACTCAGACTCCTTTCGGATGGCTCGCGGCTGCTCGGGGCGTTTCCGCCGCGCGCCATAATCGCGGCAATTGAGAAATCCGTGGCAAAGGAAATGTTGTGCTGATGCGGATGATGATGGTGGTTCAGCGGATGATGATGATTATGATTCTGATGATGATGATGATGATGAGTGGCGGTGCTGCCGTTGGCGAGGTTTGTGGTGGCTGCCGCTGCGGCTGCTGCCACAGCCGCTGTGGCAATTTGTTGCTGAAGCTTGGACTTGAAGTTCTGCGACGACGACGTCGGAGGCGGCGTCTGTGGAGGCTTTGTATTTGCCGGCTGATTGCTCAGAAGCATTTTCAAGCCGCGTTTTCCTTTTGCAGTATTTCGATATTCCGGTTCTTTGCGGATTTCAATAGTATATACAGTTCTATTTTTATTTTTGGGTATTTGCTAGCGTTTTATTGAAGTTTTTTGCTGTATTTGATAGAGAATGGGATATGTTTTATATTTTTGCAAAATTTTATTGAAATATATGCATATCATTGAATTGATTATGCTGATTGATTTGTTTATATTTTCATAATCAGTTATTTATAAAAATGTTCTTTGGTCCATTTCTGATGTTCTTTATTAGTATTTTAAATGTTTTAAAAATTGTATTTAAATTTTTATCAACTACAATAAATGCAGTTTTTGATTTTAAGTTCAAATTAGGTATTAAAATTATAGTTACATTTTGACCGATTTGTTTTGAAACATTTGGTGGCTTTGATTGCCGTTTTATAATATTTTGATCAAGTTTATTTATTCTTGAAATTGTTTGAAGTATGAGCTAAATTTTGGATTGCATGTTGACCGTGTTCAAAACATTTCCAGTTATTATTAGAACTGTATTCGAAAATATCCTTTCGATATTCGCTATCGTTTCACAGCCAGTTCTCGTTCTCGCAAACAACACACATTTCGTTTAGCCGGAATCCGCACACTTTACGACCGTAGCGAGGGGTCCCCGTCCGGGTTTGGGTTTGGGTCCGTGTCGGAAGAGAGATAGAGAGATTGTGTATTGGAGCCGCCGAGCCGTCGCTGCCACACAGTCACGCAGCTGACCATTGAATGAATCGCCATGAATCGAATGAGCGCCGGCCCGATTCGCTTTTGGCCGGGCCGCCATGTAAACGCATTCGCAAAAGCAAAGCCAAAAGCACAAAGGCAGGCAGCGGCGGCACGTTACGGCAGCGGCAGTGACAGAAAGCCGAAGTCGAAGACGAAGTCGCAGTCGCAGTCGATTCTGACCCCCAAAAGAGTGGAGAACCGATCTTACGGCAAAGGTTTTCAACACCCCAATACGTAACGCTATAAATAGTCTTACGTCACGTGGAGCGCTCTACGACTTAACGGTCTAACGGCTGATGGGGCTGGGGTGGGCTAAGGCACTTGGTTGATGCTACTGCTACTCCGCTGCCTCGTCGCAGCCAGCGTCAGATTCCTGACGGCACTGACTCGCGGTATAAACTTTTGGCCTTACGTCACGCTAAACCCTCGCTACGTAAGAGAAGACACGGCGCGCGGCTAACCGCAAAAAGTTTCAATTATGAGAAGTGCGAGCGAGGCAGCTGTATGGTGTGCATTCCCATGCAGCGACAGCGACGCCGACGCCGACGTCGACACCGGCGTTGCGCGCATAACTCATTTCCATTTCCCAAGACTCGAACGCCAGCATTCCTATGCACTCAACTGAGAGGCGGCTCCATGCCGGCCCGGCCGTTGGAGAGACAGAGACCACTAGTGTGTCGTGCGGCTGAGAGAGCGCTTGAGCGGCGGCCGTCCGTCTCTGTTTGGCGAGAGCGCAAACATGTTCATAAATTCGTCATTTTGTTTTTGGGCGGCTGTTGACAGTTGGGTCGTTGCTGTAGTTGTTGCCATGGGTATGAATGGGTGTGAGTGGATGAGGGAATGAATGAGTGTGAGTGAGTAGTGTGCATGAGAGTGTGTGCGAGACTGAGTGACTTTATGTGGGACAGAGAGTGAGACTGCCTGAGAGGCAGTATATGAGTGAGTGTATTTGAGAGAGTGAGTGCAGTGAGTGAGTGAGAGTGAGAGGGGGTGTGTTTTGTGCATTTCATCGAATATTTCTGCATTTTTTCATCGTTTCATACGCTTTGTTCCGTTTCCATTTCGTTGGCTACTCACCACACTCAAGCGAGTGGAATCCATTGAGTAGAGTGCGTGCCTTGAGTGAAGTTTTCAAGGCATGAGAATGACATTTCTGTGAATTTGTGAATATACAATGAAATTAATTGGAGAAATGCAGTGACGAAAAGCAATAAAATTAAAGTTTATTTATATTTTAAGAGCTATTCCATTGCAATTTTTAAGGGAAAAATAATTTTAATTGTGAAAATAATCATAGAATCGTTAAAAACATATTTGTTCACCTAATTTAATAACTCTTTTCGTTTAAAAATTATACAAATAAAGCTTAAAAATCTCAATGGAATAGCTCTTAAGTTGGTCATACCTCTCGTATATGTACAATTTAAATGGTCTTTCCATGAACTTGAAACAAGTCCACATCTCACTCCCCAAGGCCAGCAAGGATCTGTACGACCCGTCAATGTAACATCGAGAATTTATGGCCCTGTAAAAAATTGCACAAAAGAAAATTTACATAATAGAAACGTATGCTCCCCGAAACTCAATTTTCTCCACTTGATGCCAAAAAAAAAAACGAACGAAAATACCGGAAAAATAATTTCTTTAATATGCGATACTTCGAGGGTGCAAGGAAATATTGTAGGCAGAAGAAAAATCTATAAGACTTCATTTATGATCAGTATTCCCAGCTAAGAATTCGGAATTCGGTTACATTAATCATTGTCCTTGAACATTTTTGTTTCCCTGATGTTTTGTATACCCGTACTTCCCTTTTTACCCACGTAGAACTCATATTACCCATACTCAGGCCCACAAAAAGAGAGACAGACAGAGAGGAGACCGACCTCGAGAGTTACATATCTGAGAAAGTGTCTCGTGTGCGGCGGCGTCCAATTGGAAAATCATAATTGAATATCAGGGTTCCTGTCACTCTTCCTCCCTCACTGCACTCTCCCTCCGTACATTCCCAACCACTCCCCTTCCTCCTCCCTAGATAGGGTATGTAAATTTTTTTAATTTAAATGTTTGCTCAAAAGAGAAAAAAAAGTCGAGAATGGAAAAAAATGCGACGATGGCGTGTGAACGCAGCAGAAAATTATAGTCCTAGGGAGAGTCCCGGAGTCCTGCCTCCTCCGGTGGCGCAGCCCAGCAGACATCCCGCCACCATCTTGTCTCCCTCCTCCTGACTTTTTTCACAATTCGTCAGCTGCGCCCTTTGCCCCGACCGCGACCCCGACTCCGGTCCCTGCTCCAAAATGCGGACGCGGAAGAGGATGAGGATACGCGGCGCCGTGCTCGGAGCAGTCCTTTTTTTCCTACCGCCCGACTGCGGTTTCATTTGCATGCGGTTCGTGGTTGCCAGCCGATGCGGCGCACAATTGAGCCACTAATGGCGATGTTGATGGTGGCCAGGATCGGCCAAAAAGAGAGAAAGGGAGAGCGAGAGAGTGCGAGGCAGACAGGGTGGGCCCTGTTCCCCCATCTCTCACTTTTGTTTGCTTTGTCGCGGTTCGGTGACAATTTTTCAATGATTTGTTTCCTGCCCTGAAATCTCATTTGCATATGCCACCATATTTTTTCAACTTTCCTGTTTTTTTTTTTTATTCCACTCCCTATCCCTGCCCCTGTCCCTGCCCCATGCACCCATTCCCATTCGAATTCCTGTTCCTGCGCCTGGAGTGAAAAATGGCAATCGCTTTGTTTTATTTTCAGTGTGGGTTGGTTCTTCGTCTAACTTTCGGGCAATTTGAATTTGATTTAATGAAATTAAAAGGGCGTGTTCTCCTAATAGTGCTGTTCTTTAAATAGTCTGGGTGTATTCTTTTCGGGAAGGGGGAAGGGTCTGGCTAATGAAGTGGTTAAGGGAATAGAAATGTTTCATTCAAGTTGATTAAAACATCAGAAACATTTTTCATTGTTTAGTGGAAAGCGACAGGAGCAAAGTTCAGGCAGGGAAATAATATGTTGAAGGCGGAAGCCAAAGGCAACTTGAAAGGGGGCCTTATGTTTTTTGATGTCTTGTCTACAGTATTTTTATTCTGAATGAAGTCATTCGACAAGAAAAAACTCCTCTTGTTCCATAATTCCAAATATAAATATGCGTGGATATCCGCAAGGTGCTGTACTTATATAGAAATTACTTCAGATTTAAAGGACATCGATCATGAGATGATGATCAGGGTACTCGCTGATTTCCCTGAATATCCAGTTTTGAGTACTAATACTTTATTAGACAACGCCTAGATACTATTTCAACTTGAATCCGTTAATTTTTATATGATTAGCTTTGACACATTTCGTTCCCGATGAAAGGGATATTGCTCTGGCTTCCAAGAAATTCATGTTCTCAGTCATATATCATTCGGCAAGACTATGGCTCCTGGCCAAAAATAGCTTCCATAAACTAATCCTCAGACGGTCTTCCAATAGGATCTACTTTTATGTACCTGTGCCAGCTCCAAGGATGCCAATAGAAAATTCTCAATTGAAAAGACTACCAAAAATATACTTTGAAATGGTTTAGGGATTCATTTTTGCTATGAATGAAAAACAAGGTCAACGAGATAACGAAAATGTGTATGTGAGCATGTCAAAATTGCGTGAATTTTAATCATAAGCGGAATGGATTCAAGAGCGGTGGTTCCTGTTTGACACTCACAGAGAAAATGGCAGGCAACGCCAACAAGCACATTTCAAGTGTTTACTCTGATGTTGGCCTGATTTCTGTATATTTTGGAGGCAGAAAATCATTTGGTTTGAAATCCTCTATACGACATACTCTGAAAACTCCATAAGTAGCTACCTCACGCTTCCCTAATAGTTCCACAGAATCAAAAAACCACTTTTGCCTGATGTCTAAACAAACAGAAACCTTTAGGCTGAAGAGCTGGCTTTTGGCTTCATACATTTGCATAATTTTTGCACAGTCCGCGTCCGCACTGCCAACAAATCAAAACAAAGCAATCCAAAACTTATTTATGAACAACATCATAGAAGTCTATAACTAACCTGAAGCCAAGATATGAGGAAACCTCTCTAAAGCCAGGAGAGCACTGATGGAAGGGTAACCCAATCAACTCTCCAGAATCCATTCCCATTCCGATTGAAATTGTATGGCAGGGAGATACAATAGATTTTTGTTTACGCTTTGACGGGATTATGGCCGAAAACGGAAGCCGCAGAATAGATTCCACGCCCGATGTTGCTGTCCATTAGTTTTTATTTTTGGAAATTTCACTATTTTCCTTGCGGCCCCCCACTCCGACGTGCACTAAATGGCCAATAAGCGTGC